CCCCAAAACCCCAAAACCCCGGACTATAAATTATGCAAAAAATTAGGAAATTAAGATATCTTATCTAAAAATAGTTTAATTAATTAATCAAGCTGTGATTGGTAGGTTTGTTTGTTTTATTAAAATATTGAATGTTTTGTTTGGAGGAGGAGCCTGTTTTGTCAAACAAAACAATTTTTTTAGAATTAATTCTCAATATAATTTTCCAATTTAATTACTAATTACTACTTATGGACTCTAACAGTGCTGAAGATACTTATTTCTAACATAACCAAATGAGAAATGACTGGATTTCTAATATTGATCCTCAAGAAACTAAAACAAACTACAATAGACTTATATTTGAAAGAGTCTTGCAGACAAGATGGCTTAAGACAAGTGAGATATATGCCATTTTGAATGATATTAATTTACTTTTTGAAATGGGATATAAAATCTCCTAGACTGCTCATACTCAAAAACCATAAAGTAAATATTAGAATTAACGAAATAGGCGGTCAGTTTTTCATATTTTCTAATGAATCCAAAGGAATATGGAGAAAGGATTTTCATAATTATGTGACTCGAAAGGGCAGTTTAACATCTGTAAGAGAAGACTAAGTCAAATTGAAATTTAATGGTCAAGAGTTTGCGATATGTTCCTACTGCAAGGGACCTGGATTTCAAGATGACTCAACAATATAGGGGTAAATAGAAATAACTCCTGAGAGTTTTAAAAGAAGGGCTTACTGGCTTAAAGAAAATCCAAGATTTATATTAGTACACTACCTCGATGAAGCAAATAAATATTATTTGAATTATCTGAAGTTCCAGAATCTTTAAAATTGCATCTCGAATGAGTTAAAGGATAAGACAAGTGAGAACTTTAATGCTGAGGAACTTAATAGAATTCTCTCAAAAGGTTTTTCGCAAATGATTCAAATGAATCCAGATCAAAATAGGATCCTCAAATAAAATTAGAAAGAAAATTAAATCTAGGATTCGATATAAGATGATTTTATGTCTATAACCACTCCCTCTTTGGACAGTTAAGATCTCAAGGTATAAAGCAGTGAGGATTAAGAATTCTTCTCAGAAATTATGGAAATCATAATTTCTTCGACTCCTTCTCAAAGATTAAACAGGTAAATCTCAGCAAATTCAATTAAATAAATTATTTAGGCTTGAATTGGATTCGAATGGTGATATTAATGTGGATGCCCTCCTCAGAAAAGACTAAAATTATAATGAAAATCTTAGCTTAAATAACAATAATGTTAACAAATAAACTATTTCGGAGCCTAATAATGATTTGGGCTCTAACTTTAAATAGGATTTGAACATGAGTCCATTTACAGATATAAATTCTAAGTACAGTTAAGTGATTGGTAATGACTTTAAAATCTTGCCAGAGGAAAACCATTTAAAATACGAATAAAGCATTAATGCAGCTTAAAGTGAAATTATAAATTAAAACTCATTTTTCTCAAATCAAGACGAATTTAACTCATTACAGAACTAAATTTTTGGACTTCAAATGAAATTTTCATAGCTTGAAGCTAACATGTAGCATCATTCTTCTTTGGATCAATCATCTTTGCCTAGACAATCTAATGTAAAAAAGGAATAAAACTCATGGGGGCTTGGGCAATACTAATAGTAGCAACATCCAGCTTTAGCTTTTAATCAATAGAATCCATTTAATTTTAACATTGAAATAGTAGATTACTCACCTGAATGGGACTATACTACAGGTGGATCTAAACTCTTGGTCTGTATAAAGCCCTCTTCAGCCTTTGAGAATTTACCTCCATTTATTGAACAAAATCTCGAATTAAGCTTTGGTGATATTTTGGTGCCAATTAAATTCATCTAGCCAGGAGTTTTTAAATGCAATGCACCGCCTCACGACCAAGGTTTTGTTCATCTTAACTTGATATACTAGGGTAAAGTCCTTACTGTTAAACAAAACGAGTTTTAGTCTAATTAGTTTGAATATAAACTTCAACAGCCAAAGACCATGAAGAAAAAGAGAGTTAGAAATGCTTAACCTAACGATTCTATGCTTGAAGGGGATAGTAGAGAATTTAAGGTGAGAATAGTTGAGAAACTTACTTATTTGGAATAAAAACTGAACTTACCATTTCAAAATAAGACAGAAAATTAAAATAAAGATTAAGATAGTGTTTTCAAAAACTATGAGAGTACTTTCGGAGAATAGTTTAATCATTTGGATAGTGAAATGCTGGAGACTTTAAACAAGGAGTTTTTCAAAAGAGTAATAGTCAGAATCATCCAAAGATTAAAGAATGAAATGAGTGACACTGATAGGATAAGTCTTTTAAATGAGCCAGATTTATAAGGTTAAACGCTTATTCATTATGTAACTGCTCTAAATTACTATGAATTACTCCCAATCCTTCATGATGCTGGTGCAAATGTAAACTTAAGAACCATGAGTGAGAATCTAAGCCCATTAATGATTGCTGCTGCAAAGGGCTATGAAAAATCTGTCCGTAAACTTATGAGGCTCGGTGCAGTATTTTGGAATGATGAAAATAAAAAGGTGTCTGTATAACCTCGAGGCTAAAATTTAGAAATTTAGTTTAATAAAAAGAAAGAAAAAGCTTAAGCCAAATATGATTCAGACGACTCTGGATCAGAAAATAGTGAGAATGAATCTGATTAAGACTTATCAGATAGTGATGAGGGCCATTTTAGTTTATAATAGCATCAGTCCTTACAAAGAAATGATGATGGTGCAATAGAGTTAGCACTTCAAAATAGACATCATAGCATTGTTGAAATGCTTCTGAGAGATATGAGTCTTAAGAACGCTCTTAAAGGAGATCACTAGTATATTCACACAATTGAATACCCTTAAAATAGAAAAAGAGAGCAAAAATAATACGATTAAATGAAAATCAACTCTAATGTAGACCTAAGACAGGATACATAGAGCAATTCTTCACCCTAAGTTGTTCAAGGATATATGAAAAGGTAAGCAAGTGGACTCAACCTAAAGAGGAAAAGCGATGCAGGCTAGAGATAGTTTAATAACATGAACTAGGAGCCAAGATATAATATTCTTACCAAGAATTTCAACATTAAATCTGAAGGTAAATTACTTCCCCCTAATAACTTGCACTTTAGAAATTTAAAAGGTAACTAAGATACAAAAAAGTGTAAGAGCATGGCTTATTAGAAGATAGCATTATGACATTAAGCATGCCACTAAGCTTCTGCACTCTGAACTAAGCAACAACTTGATGCAAAATCATAGAAATAGTGCAAGGATTGATGAAAAAAGAGCAGCCATTATTATTCAAAGAACTGTGAGAGCCTGGTTAAAGTAAAATTTCGATTAGATAGATAGATAATACATCCATTGAAATTGAACATGATAACAGGCGAGATTATTTTTTTTGAGTTTGCTCTTAAAAACACATGTTTCTTAGATCTAAGAGATTTTTTTATTTCATAAAGTAACATAAATTTTAGTATAAGCTCATTCATCTCTATGGGGTTTTGGGGTTTTGGGGTTTTGGGG